ATTCAAAAAACAATAAAAAAATAAAATTCTGAAAAAAATATACGCCAACATTTATTACATATACAGTACAACAAATTCACCAATGCACGGAACCATTCAATCATAAATACCGGGACAACAATTGCATTCATATTCACAAGCACAACTTCAGATTAAACCGGTACTGAAATCATTTTTTATTACAAAGGAAAAACAAAATTGTTTTGTATAGAATATAATAAAGAAAAAATACGGATAAATCCACGAGAACAAAAATTTGAAAACATCGCTATGGAAATGTAGTGAGAGACAGTGTAAACAAGAGAGTGGCCCGCTCACCTGGACAAAGGAAGGTGACCAATCCTCCCTGTTATCCTCTCTCCCCCCCCCCCTCCTAAGCCTTCACCCTACGTATCCCCTCTTTAATTGATCGTCTCATTCACCATCCTCCATGTCCCTTACCACAATTCCCTCTGTCTTTATTTACTCCTTCCTCTTCCCCTAAACCAGTGGCTTCCTGTATGACTTTCTTTCCTTTAAAATACTACTTCCCTAAATGTTTTTCCTCTAGGACTCCTTCCCTTAGACCATTTTCCCCGAAGCACTTTTCCCCGAGGGCTATTTCCCTAAACACTTCTTCCCCTAGGTCTAATTCCCCCAAACACTTTTTCCGTAAGGTGTACTGTATTTCCCCAGTGATACTCTATGCACTCTCTTCAAAGACATTCTCTAGTAATCATAAACATACAAAGATCATACGTAACATTAATTATCTTCATTCAACACATTCTTCCATAGACACCAAACAAACACACAACACACTATCCTCGTCCGCTTCTGGTAGTAGGTATAATTCGGACTTCCATTAACCATAAGAGAACTTGCATTCCTCCCCTCGACTCGCCCTAATGGTTCATTGATCGCAGTTTGCTACAGGGCCAATCTCCTTACTGTAATGCCTACCTCTCTCTCACTCGTATATGTACCTCTTACTTGTATATGTACCTCTCACTCGTATATGTACCTCTCACTCGTATATTTACCTCTCACTCGTATATTTACCTCTCACTCGTATATTTACCTCTTACTCGTATATTTACCTCTTACTCGTATATTTACCTCTCACTCGTATATTTACCTCTTACTCGTATATTTACCTCTCACTCGTATATTTACCTCTCACTCGTATATTTACCTCTCACTCGTATATTTACCTCTTACTCGTATATTTACCTCTCACTCGTATATTTACCTCTCACTCGTATATTTACCTCTCACTCGTATATTTACCTCTCACTCGTATATTTACCTCTCACTCGTATATTTACCTCTCACTCGTATATTTACCTCTCACTCGTATATTTACCTCTCACTCGTATATTTACCTCTCACTCGTATATTTACCTCTCACTCGTATGTTTGTCCTTCACTCAATTCCGCATCACTACAGATAGGTGGTCTCTCATTTGCATCTGAATTGGAGAAATATTTCGAAACACAAAAATGAGAACAAGTAGTGGTATTGTACGATCACTATACACGACCCAGCACTTAGCGACACCTGGAGGCAGAGTACGGGAGGTATAGGGGGAGGTGGTGTAGAGTATGAATAAAGAACATAAAAGAATCAAAACCCGTGATAAGCAAACGGGAGTAACTAATCGAGTGTCTTCCTTATGCTTTGTGCACCCCTCCTAAAGCATCCCTCCTAAAGGACTCTCTCCAAAACATTCCAACCCCAATCATCCCTCCCCAATTACTCTTCCCTCAAGGTCTCCTGCCTCAAGCACCCCTATCAAAGGACTCGTTCCCCAAGTCTCCCCTAAGCCGCCCAGGATCCACAACTCCCCCCCCAGCTTGGCAGCCACACCACCGCCCACTACCATTGGCTGGGTCGTTGCCGCCGTCTCAAACAAATCGTCGGATGACAATACAATTTCTTGATGGTTTTCGTTTATTCTCTTTTGTGTGGTCATGTGGGTGAGTCACCTGAGAGGCGGCCACCAACGAGGGACACGGCAGACTCCGTTAATGGCTCTTGACTTTGATCTTTATACCTGAGTGTGCTGCAGGTGTGTGGTGTGGTGCAGGTGTGTGGTGCAGATGTGTGGTGCGGGTGTGTTCTGCAGGTGTGTGGTGCGGGTGTGTGGTGCAGTTGTGTGGTGCCGGTGTGTTCTGCAGGTGTGTGGTGCGGGTGTGTGGTGCAGGTGCGTATGCAGGTGTGTGTTGCGGGTGTGTTCTGCAGGTGTGTGGTGTGCAAGATAAATTCAACATGACTGATTATATATTGATGACTTAATTCGACCTAAAATCATTTCGACTTAAAATCAATTCGACATCAAACTTGATATAAGACAAGCGATTACCGACGTCAATAATGTGAAATCGTTTTGACACATTAAAGCTTGACCGTCAATAACGTGAAGGTAAAAGGGTTTATTAGTGTTTCAGGTGGGTGTTGGTGTAGGTGGTCAAGTTACTCTAAGAGTCTCAAAAGCAAGTTTGATATTTTTTTGCCCTTATAATTCGTCGCGTTACTAAGTCCCCCACGTCTAGTGAAAAATTTAAAAGTAATAATTTACGAGAGTTTGGACTTCGGGCAAGATGGCAATAATCCCGATGCGGCCGCAAATTCTAAGTTATTGGCCATTAAGTATAGAAAACTGACTTGTCCACTGGTTCTCCCTCTACCCCCACCACCACCTTGTAAACCCTCTTTTATGCCACAAACACTCTGAGTTGGCTGAGTATTGACACTCGCCTCTCTCATATCACGTGTACGACAGTTTCTCAGAAGACCAAGCAGCAGCAGCAGCAGGGAGACGCCAGAGATGTGGAAGGCAACAGCACTGCCACCCGTATGATAGCACATCTTCAGAACATCTTGTTATCTCCATCACCGATATTTTGACCACTCAATCACTGAGAAATATCCAGCCGTACATTAACCAGCTTCGGTGACGAATAAAGTGTTCGCTCACACACACACACACACGACATTATAATACCCTCGCTCTCAGTCTATAGGCGACAAAAATTATAACCACTAAGCTTCCGTAAAATTATTCGGTTTCACTGTTCTGTCACGTCAGGATTTATTTTACAAACATAATATCTCGCAAGCGAAATAATATTAAAACTTATACATGCATACATCTACAAAAAATGGGTTCATGTATGCATGTATAGTTCTCAATAAGCACACTAAAGCTAAGTCACGAAAGCAAAGTCATGAAAAAGTAGCATATAATAGTTTTCACGAGAGAACATCTTCAATAGCGGCCGTCAGGAAGTTGTTAGTGATTATTACTTCCGGAAAATGTGCACGAGGAGAGTTTCAGCAACGAGGACACACGGCGAGCAGACACACGGTAGCCATCTCACGAAAAATATCTCCATTTTTCTCAACATAAAATATCACAAGCTGAAGGCGACTCACCGCACACTTAAAACCTTTCCCTGAGAAGATCAGAACAAAAAGATGAGGAAAATTGATGACAGTATGTAAGAGGAAAAATACCACGGGTACATAATACTGTATCGCGCACACATGTAAACACGACCTTTGACCTGACAGAGATGAAGAGTCACCTGAAGATTCGACACCCAGTTTGTTTCATGTTAAGATAATTCAATCTAATGCTAACCAAACCTAACCTAAGTTAAAGTAACCTACCCTAAGCCCCAGGTAGGATTAGGTGTGTTTAATCTTGAGGTGAAATAAGCTGTAGTGTCTGATATTCGGGTGATCCGAGATGACAGAGACGATTTTATCATTAGTCGAGTCTCTATCTGTAATCTTTGATCCTCTGTTACCAATAACCAGCTTCCTCGTCTCTCGTCCATTCCCAAAATTTTATCCGAATTTACTTCCTTAACCCCACCCACCACCCCTGGTCAGTAAAAAACATAATATCCGGCAACTTTCACTGGCGGGCATAACAAGTCACAGGTGGAAGGGAAGTTGGATTGAGAAAATTAATTACTCTTTAAATCGCGTTGGTATTAAGAAATATAGGTCGACAGGTTTTCATACTGGTAACGTTGAGCACAGGAGGAAAGGGTAAATGGCGAAGGGTATGTATGAAAGGGACGGAAGGGGATGACAGTGAGGGGAGGGTGGGTTAAAGGAGAGCAGGGGAGAGGAGGAGAGGGGAGACTAAAGGGTAGGGGGAATGTTACAAAAATGATACTTATGAGAGGGGTGAGAGGGGGAGCTTCTCGCCCACACAACAGCTGACTCTCACTGTGGATTACCTGAACACAATCTTGGCTTACTTGTGGATATCTCTTCTCACAGGTAACAATTCTTAATTAATCTCAAGTTCCTCATTAAGAGTTTATATCCTGGAGGTTTTATCCACCAGAATATACTTTCTAGTTGTAAATACTTAGTTGTCATCACAGTATGTTAATTTTTTTTATACAGTTTCTCCTGTGGCTATTACCGTACACAGCTATAATGTTACTGTTTCCAGGCAAAGTCTCTTTCATCATTGTTATTATACGAAGTTAACAAAGTTGATATTGTTAAATCCAACTTTACATATTACTCTTTGATGCATAGTGGTCCTCGTGTTGTGGTCCTCGTGTTGTGGTCCTCGTGTTGTGGTCCTCGTGTTGTGGTCCTCGTGTTGTGGTCCTCGTGTTAGTCTCGTCTACAGTTCCCCATTACAATTAACCCACAGAAGTCGTCTTGTTTTTCTCCCTATACATGTCCTTGTGTCCCTGTTACCACACACAAGTTACTGTTGTCGTATGCAGGTCCAAGTTTCCCTGTCTTACAAATTCAAGTCTCATTTTACAACCTAGACTCCCCACTCGTTGTTGCTGTTGTAAGTTGTACCCACACTGTCCCCATCAGCCAGTCATGCTTAGGGGACCCACTTTCTCTTACCACCATCACCAAACCGTTTTATTTAATCCGGTTGTCATTTGTAGTTCTGTCTTAATGTCAGTAGAAAAACGCTTCCTATATATTATTTGTCATGCAGCTGCCATAATAGTACCAAGACACTCACGTTGCCCCGACTGTCTTGAGCTTAAGGAACTGCGGCGTGAACTGGTACCTGACGAACCTTCCTGCGTTGGGATCTGACTCTTCCTGGTCAACGTCTGGCTCTTCCTCCTCCAACTCTGAAAACATATGTCAAGTCACATTAGTTTAGTCCTGAGAGTTAGTTTCAAAGTAGTTTTAATAAGTTAATTCACATAAGTTCAGTCCTAAGAGTTAGTTTCACAGTAGTTTTAATAAGTCGATTCACATAAGTTCAGTCCTAAGAGTTAGTTTCAAAGTAGTTTAATTTAAATAATGATAATTTACACTAATCAGTCAGGTTTTGTGAAATAGTCTGAATTATATAAAAAAAAGTTCCATTAGTGTATTAAATCAGAGAACAAATTGCGACAGTTTTCCTATTGAAAATAAAAGTCGACTTACATTTGTTCACAAGCAAATAAAAGTCAGTTCAGGTTATTTCCACTGAAGGGTAAACAACGACGTTAAATTCTGGCTGTGTATACTAAAGACACGTACCACAGCAATACCACCACCATATAGCGAAACATATTGAAGGTAAAAACATCACAACAGATATAAATAAACACACAACAACTATCGAACACCAGGGCACTGTAGTTGTGAGAATGGGGGGCGTGGGGGCGTGTCATCTGGGAATAGTTTCAGATTCTTCGTTCATTTTTCAGATTACATTGTGTTTATAACGATCGAGAAGTTTTATTGGTGAGTGAACATCGTCCTAATAGCTGCTCCTCGTTAATATAAAACCCCCATTAGGTGAGATCGTAACACGGATATACTGTATTCTGTTTTAATGTCCATCGTCAGGTAGGTAATGATATCCCGTCTCACCAGAGTAAAGTGATAGTTTGTGTGGATTTCCTAACTGTTCTGTCTTTTGTATATATTTCTTTATGGTGGAATCTCGTCAAGGAGGCGCTGTAGTAGTCCTGTTTCACGTCCATTAATGATCAGAAAAACATCGACCTGAGTGAGGGATTACGTGACGTCCTTGTTAAATACTCACACAAACAACTCCTCTCCTCCCACACAAACAACTCCCCTCCCCCCACACAAACAACTCCTCTCCTCCCACACAAACAACTCCCCTCCCCCCACACAAACAACTCCTCTCCTCCCACACAAACAACTCCTCTCCTCCCACACAAACAACTCCCCCCACACAAACAACTCCTCTCCTCCCACACAAACAACTCCTCCCCCACACAAACAACTCCTCTCCTCCCCACAAACAACAAACAACTGCAAACAACTCCCTCCCCCACACAAACAACTCCTCCCCCCACACAAACAACTGCCCTCCTCCCACACAAACTCACAAATGGCATCAAATTGCATGTAATAACAGCGCGTGAGGCAGAATGAGGCAATAAATCAGATAAATTGTAACGCAGGATTTTTTTTTGTTTACAATGGCGTCCTGGAAGTATGGTGCATAATGTGGAATAGAACAAGGTAACGTGTGTGTGTGTGTGTGTGTGTGTGTGTGTGTGTGTGTGTGTGTGTGTGTGTGTGTGTGTGCATTCCCCCACACCACCTTTGACCTAATCATCACACCACTTGGTCTAAAGGCCCACCTTTCCAGCACCACCCCACCACCTCTCCAACACCTCCCCACCACCTCTCCAACACCTCCCCACCACTTCTCCATCACCCGACTGATATAAAACACATTAGAGGTGGGGCGAGGGTGGTGGATAACCTAACCTAGGGTGGCAGGTGATCACATGTTGAGGTATGGGGAAGGTGAGGGAATCTTGCGTTCGGGAAGAGACGACGTGCGATTGACCTGGGAAATCGTAAGGGTGGCTTTTGTGGGAGGGGCATAGCAAACTGTGTGGGTGTGGTGTAGGTGTGTGTGTGTGTGGGTGGTGTAGGTGTGTATGTGGGGGTTACCTAAGCCTTACCAAACCATCAGCCCCCCCACACACACACACACACACACTGCAAAACTCTACGGACATATCTACTCACATTTCACTATAATTTATCTTTACCATAAACGTTAGGTTGGTAATTTTGAAGCCAATTAGTTTTACACTGAGTCTCTCCCCCTCAGTCTCAGACCTGTACACCAACACTCAGCCTTATCATCACCAGCACAATTACCCGAGAGACTTATTACAGGGTCACACGTACCTGTTTGAAGTCATTAAGGTGGGGACGGAGGGGCGGTCAAGGATAAATGGGTCCTAACCCCTTATAATTTGGTGAATAAAATCAGGTCATTTGTTCTGTATAACCGATTCTCTTATAGTCACTCATTATGTGTTCTTTATAACTAGTGTTCTATATAATCTTTTTTTACTGTTATAACCACTAATAATTTGTTGCATATAACCGCTTACTCTTTACGTACTATTAACACTTGAAAAGGTAGGTAGGTGTGTGTGTGTGTGTGTGTGTGTGTGTGTGTGTGTGTGTGTGTGTGTGTGTGAGTTTGCAGCAGCATCTAAATTACAAGTACTATTCCTATATAAACATTACATGTATATAAAACAAAGTCTCCAATAAATGTGTTAAAATGAGAGTCACAGTTACCAGAAAAAAGAGACCATTGAAGAAACTTAAAAAGTGTGGTAAAACATGTGAACCTCCGCTGTGGCTCCCGAACACGGTAAAAGTTGGGGAAAAACTACCTAACATGACACACACATTAAGCTGTTCACGTCTACTGCAACTCCCTCCCCACAAAAAAAAAAATTTATACCAAGTTCCAAAATCTAACTGAAAACTGTAGAAGTTGATTCCACGAGGTAACAACCCTGAAATGTTTGACTGGACGGATAGACAGACAGACAGACACACAGAGAAGCTAATCGTTTTATTCCCCCTATGTGTGGTGTGGGTATAATAGGTCGGGAATTATTAAACGAGGCATTAGAGTGACTGACCCCCGACGCTAGTTAACTACAGTACCCCTAGGCGAGACACTCTTAGAATAACCTACGTGTAATAATGTCGTTATGGGTTTGGGTTAAGTTATCAAATGGATGCCATGTTTGTCCTGACTTGCCTTGATAGAATAACACGTCTCACACTAACCAATACCTGTTATATCGCACGTTAGCATCATTAAAAACTCATAGATAAACGAACATTACACAAACAGAAACAACAACAATATCTGGACTAAATAAACCCAACAAAGCAAACAACAAATAAATTTCTCAGTGGAGGATTAATTTAAACAAAAACACTTAAGACTTTAAAGAAAAAAATATATTAAGTCAGGTAAGGTTGATAAAAAAAAGTGAGAGAAAAATTACAAGTGATACGTGAAAAAAAGTTTGTGGCTGGGAACGTGAGGTGTCCGCCGCCGCCGTCAGGGAGAGCCTTTATGAGCTTAACTCGCCCTTGTAGTGCCTTTATGCTTAACTCGCCCTTGTAGTGTGTGTGTGTGTGTGTGTTTAAAACCTTCCTGACCAGCCACCGCCACAACATCCACCCGCCTTCCCCTACTATCACCACTCCTACCACTGTCTCCACCAATGTACCACCTACCACCACCACCATACCACCACCCCTACCACCACCCTACCACCACCCCTACCACCACCACCACCTCTACCACCACCTACCACCCCCTACCACCCCTACCACCACCACCCCACCTCTACCACCACCACCACCACCACCACCTCTACCACCACCACCTCTACCCTCACCTCTACCACCTACCACCACCACCACCCCTACCACCACCACCCCTACCACCACCACCTCTACCACCACTACCTCTGCTACCGCCAGCCAGAAATAGATGTAATAAAATAATTCTGCTGACGTCAAGGACAAAACAAGAACTCCGATGTAAAAAGAGAAAATAGATTACTCGTGTGGATGAATGGAAGGATGGCGGGAGGGAGGGGTGGGTGGACGGACAGATGGACAGACGTTTGAATAGACAGGTGTATGGATGGACGGACAAACACACGGACAGATAGATAGATAGACAGGTAAATAGATAAGCGGATGGATATATATGTGTGTGTATGTGTGTGTGTGTGTGTGTTTTAAGTCAACAGTTACTCAAGTCACTGTACGAGGAAGGTATTCATTCATCAGGTGCTTGAAGGCGGATCACCCATCACAACGAAGGTAAGACATTAATTAACTCACCAACCCAAAGGTAAATTACCAATAACAATAATCTAACCCAATGGTAAATCACCTCCAGGTAACACGAGGGATCACAGGTAATCACATTTACCATCCATTAACATAATGAGGCAAACAACCTTATCCCGTGTACTTGAGGTTTTATATCCTGACTGTCTCATCTCCCCTGCATGATGCCGTTGACTCTGTAAGGTGATGCTGGCAGGGAGAGAGAGAGAGGGTGGGAGAGAGGGAGGGTGGAGGGAGGGAGGGAGAGGATGGAGGGAGGGAGGGAGGGAGAGGATGGAGGGAGGGAGAGAGAGAGGAAGGAAGGAAGGAAGGAAGGGAGGGTAACAGAAAGCTGGTTATGGTCAGTTCAGGTCAATTCCCACTCTCCCTCCCTCCTGAGAGATGAGGTCAGGTCAAGTGCCTCCCTTCTGAGAGGTGAAGTCAGATCAAGGGAGGGAGAGAGAGAGGAAGGAAGGAAGGAAGGAAGGGAGGGTAACAGAAAGCTGGTTATGGTCAGTTCAGGTCAATTCCCACTCTCCCTCCCTCCTGAGAGATGAGGTCAGGTCAAGTGCCTCCCTTCTGAGAGGTGAAGTCAGATCAAGTATCTGCCTCCCCTCTGTCAGCGTTGGACGAGGTAATAGAGGCCGTGGCCAGCCGTCACCTGCAGGCCATTGTCCTCGTGACGCCCAACTCCCTGTCTAGTCTCGGGGGAATCTGATGTACAGTGATCCTATCTCCCTATCTCTCTGGTCTCCACAATCTCTCTCTCTCTCTCTCTCTTCCTCCGGTCTTTCCTCCGGTCTTTCCTCCTCCTGTCTCTGTCCACCCTCCTCCTGTCTCTCACTCCTCCTCTCTCTCTCACTCTCTCTCTCCTCCGGTCTTTCCTCCTCCTGTCTCTGTCCACCTCCTCTATCTCTCTCCTCCTGTCTCTCACTCCTCCTGTCTCTCTCTCTCTCTCTCTCTCTCTCTTCCTCCGGTCTTTCCT